CTGTTTTAGCTTTTAGTGTGACACTGTGATTCATTATGATGTGGTGTGGACTGGGTGGGGAAGTTAGACCATATCTTGATTCGCTTTGTTTGTTTATGCTTTGTGTTATTTGTTAGGCATCTCTTTATTTCTTATTCTATTGCCTCTTTTATATGCATGTTTGTATGGTGCATGTGCAAAGTCCTTTAACTTTAATTTCTAAACATGACTTGTTTTTCATATTTTTCTCTCTCACTTTTTTATTGCTATTTTCATCATTTTTCTTTGGTTCCTCTCAAATGTACATGTAAATTGTTAAAAAATTAATTAATTTATAATATGTTGGTAAATGTCAAACTGAAAATCCACCACATTAAAGCATCACACACTATACAATATACAAACCTCATAATGATAGTTCATACAAGTCAAGTCCCTCCAACAGGTATCACCTCTCATCTTTATCAAACCCTAAAGAAGGTTCCAATATTCAATCACATCCTTTCTCTCACTTACAGCTCCAATCATAATGCGGAATATCATCCAGCAATTTCCCCAGACATTGGTCCAGCTTGTGGGCGTGTGACGTGGAAACTGGCTATAACTCAAAACTGGAGATAAGAACATTGTAAGGAAACCCATTTCAAGTAACCCAGACTCCCAACCTACATGTACATGTACATCTAATAACGGTACCACACATTATACAATACACAATGAATATACTGTACCTACACATGTACATGTATGCAAATAATATTGTTTAATAAGTAAACATTAATTCAATTGAAATATAAATTAATAATGTTTACATTTTCTCTTTATGCCGCATGATATTCAGTAAATATAACTTACAAAAAAATAATAACAATAAATGATTATCTCCATACAAAGATACTTCCACCTCAGAGTAGTAGGAGGAGGAGAGGAATGATCTGATGAACCTCTTCTCTCAGAAGAGGAAGATTTGAGTGAATCACAGCATTTCTATTGTCCTCCATCCTTTAAGGTGGAGCTATGGGCGAGGCGTCGTCAAACCAGCCCCGCCCTGTTCTTTAGAATTTGCTGTGCTCTGCTTTTACTCCTCCTCTTACCTTTACCTCTCCTTTTACCTTGTATACAATACTTAAACTAGTTTCAAATGGCTTCAAAACCATCACATTTCCCATTAGGTGAGTCAGATTATTTATAATACACTGATATACATATTTTGTGTACAGATATTAGCAAATTAAAGTTTGTTCTAAAAGTCTTGAAGCACTACAAGTTTCCTGAAGCAAGATGGTTTGAGTTTGGATTGAATCTTGGTCTGCTTTATCCTACACTGGAAGCTATTGAGTCAGCTCATAGAGGGAATCCTTCACGCTGCCTGATGGAGTGTTTAACCAAGTGGTTGACTAAAGCTGATGATAATGTCACCACTGTTGGTCCTATTATCTGGAAGACACTGGCTAATGCTCTTAGAGAAATGGACGTAAAATCTGTTGCCATTGATATTAGCAAAACAAGTAATAATATTATTTTTGTTATACTTTTTTATATTTTATTA